AGTGTTCCTGCAATGTTTAAACACAGTGACATTAAGGTAAATCAAATTATTAATCTCAATACGCTATGTGCCCAGAGGTTTTTTTTTCTAAACAATTCCAGGAAAATATCATCAATACACAAGTTAAATTATCTATCAAAATAGATTGAGGCATACTTCCAGATCCAATAGATCTTTACATGTTAAAAAATTTATACACATACACAGTATTTATTTCATAGAAAATTCAGCTATCTATAAAGTGAGCAACTCAAATTATTTTTTAACAAAAATACTGTACTGTTAAAATGTATAATTGTACGTTTTAAAAGTCACTGTTGGGAGGCAGCCACTCTACACTTATACAAAACTAGTCACTCAACTCAAGAGGATTTTAAGAAGTCAAAAGAGACTTTGGCTGAGATAAGAGTATACCTTCTGTGGAAAAAAAAATAAAAACAAAAAAGAGACAATTGACTATTCAGTAACCACAGGTGGTCGAGACTTTCATTTCACATCACATTTGACACTTGAACAACAATCTAACCAGCAGAAGTAGCAATGCAACCAGACAGAAAATGAGCACCAAAATGGCTACCACAGAGTCCCTTAGCTGCCTCTGATGCTGCTACTTGATTTCTCTTCAGACACCCTCTGTTCCCTTCTGGTGCTCATCTGTAATCACAACACTGACTGACATGAGGATATGTTTGTTCTCAATGGTTCTTTGCATCATGAAATAAATTCATCTGTATCAGAACTATTATTAAAAATGAGCCAGAAATTATAGTGATTCTGGCTTGTCTCTGAAAATCTACAGTGACAGTCTCCAAACCCATGTTTAAAAAGGGGGAAGGGGACAAGAAGATTTGATCTTCAGTGGAAGTAAAGCCCTGAACTGCCTTTCCGCTCATGTCAGAATACGATTTCCAAACTCGCCTTTCACCTTTTTTGAAGATTACGTGAAACTTGAAATTTTTCATTAATCGCCAATAAGAGTGTCAGAGAAGGAACCCACAGAGCCTGTCTTCTAGATACCTATGCGATCTGTGTCTCAATCTTGTAATGATTAGAAATCTGACAGTTTCTTAAATAAATATATGTATATAATCTGCTGAAAACACTTCATCCACAATGTACTCTGAATAATGAGTATATCATTTCAAGAATACGGATGGACCCATGGCATCCACACCAGAATAACTGTCTGTGAGCTGCTCTTATTTAGGCACTTAACTCATTTCTCCAAAACATTAAGGAAATAAACACAACTTCGGAAAGGAAGAATTGCATCTTCCTTTGACCCAGTTCCAAACACCTGCATACTCTGGATATGAACACACATCCCTATTTTCTCAAAATCTTTATATGGCAACAATTGTGAAGTGTACAGAACTTTTGTCTCAGAAAATATTTTCCAACTTAAATGTTATACAGAGAATATCTCTCTGTAACTTCAAGCCGCCTTACAGGGATTACTCATCAGTTTTACTTTATCTCTAAACTACACTGGCAATACAAAATGTGGACCTCTCTTGCTTTTTTTTAAATTTAAGAATAGAGTATGAACATCACACATAAATCGACAATGAAATCTGGAAACCTGGGGTGTTTTTCCCCCTTAAATTGAACTCTATGAAATAGAGACCATGAAACATTGCCTCTGTTTTCAAAGATATTGAACAGAGAAAAAATAGAAAATGTATTTTCCTGGGGCGCCTGGGTGGCTCAGTTGGCTAAGCATTCAACTTCAGCTCAGGTCATGATCTTGCAGTTCATGAGTTCCAGACCCACACCAGGCTCCGTGCTAACAGCTCAGAGCCTGGAGGCTGCTTTGGATGCTGTGTCTCCCTCTCTCTCTCACCCTTCTCCCTCATGCTCTGTCTCTCTCTGTCTCAAAAAAAAAAATGTATTTTCCTGCTGAAAAAAAATTTCCTGTTAGGTGAACATGACAATGGCCAACTATCCAGAAAAAGTATAATATATTTGTGTTAAATAACAATTCTATCTATCTATTCAATCATTTTGATAAATGAATAAAATATATTAATTTATAATGTAGGTCATGAGAAGAGATATAAACAGATGTCACAGATAAAAGAATAATGCAGCAAGCCCTCAGCTTTGGGAAGTCAGTGAAAACATCTCAGAAAGCAGCAAATTTTGAAATTGTGGGAGAAACATAGTTCATCAGGAAGGTAAAATATGACAAAAGAAAGTCTTTCAGGTACAAGGACTAAAGCTGTGTCATTCGAGGTCGCCTGGTATATTTCTGAACATGTATGAAAAACTTGGCATGACAAGAATATCAGGTCCATGGCAAGATGTGGCAGAAAAGACCAAGGTCATAGTTTGGTGCTACTCTATACAGAATTTTATGCTAAGACACAGAGTTATAGACTCAATCTTGTAAGAAACAAAGACACACATTAGTTCCCAAAGTGGGGTAAGTAATCCAACTCCTTTCTCAGGGAAACAAGTCTAGTGGATGTTGGAAGAAAAACCAGAGAGAGAGGCTAAAACTTTGAGATCATATGACAGACTTTTTTCCAACTGTCTACTCAAGAGATGAAAAGCTGATATGGAATCAAGAAACATTTGAGGCAGGAACAAATTTAGAAACCAGTTAGACATAAAGTAAAAGAATCAGTGTTCATGTCACTAAAACTAAGTCAAACTATTTGTATCCTGGGATCAGCTTGTGAATCTGATGCAAACTATAATCTTACTCACATGTATGCATAATACGAAATTCTCCATTCATTTCCCAGTTTGCCCATAGACCCTGGCTAAGAACTGCTGCTCTGGATGAAGTTGCTTGGGGAAAGGAGTTGTGTTTTATTCACATTTCCATAGTGCCCAACAACAACAACAACAAACTTGGTACAAAGTAGGCGATTCATAGTTTGCATCCAGTTGAACTGAATTCTCCATTACAAACTGAATGGTTTCATTTTCACTGACATCCTGCATCACAGCATCCCCTCATGCCAATTACAGAATGTAATTTAATATACCTTTCTTATACCCATCTTTGATTACATTTAAAATAATCTCCCCTTTATCTTTGTGGTATTCTTCTGGTTATAACTATTTATATCCTCTCCTTCAAATGTGTCTTTGTGTTTAGAGTAATATCACAGGAAAAACAACAAGAAGCATTCCCTGAGAGAAGGCAGTGGTCAAATATTGAGAGAGGAAAGCCATTAGCAGTGATGCAATGCCAAATAGAGGGTATGATCTCCTCACCCTGTTGAACTGTGTACTACCATTTTTTTTTTCCTTTTCTTTTCCTAATTTAACCTTTTTCAGAGGAGGGCAAAAAGTTGTATCATTGCACATAACTAATACAAACTCATGGTAGAGAAAGAAGTTAGGGACTATGGAGAGTATGATTTGGCTTGCCAAATAAGAGATAATCAGATAATAAAATATGTTTGTGTCCTTGTGAGGAGCTTGTAATGTTTATAAGCATGGACTCCAAAGCCAGAATGTCCGTACAAATAACCCTGGGTCTCCTAAGTATCAAGTTATTTAACCTCTGTGTGCCTTGGTTTCCTCATTTGTAAAACAAGACCAATAATAACACCCACTGTATTATTGTGAATGTTAAATGAGTTAATACATGCAATGTGATTAAAGTACCACATCTATATCAGTGTTTTAGTATTAGCTGAAACACTATCCTTGAGAGGAAAATCTTCGCGCATAGTCACATATCCGGGGAAATTTTGACCTGTAAGGCTTAAAATGTTGAAAGAGAGTATTTAAATCTAATGTGAGTATCAAAGAACAGCATCCATTTCACAGTTATTAGGGGATATCTGATTCTTCTTGTTGATTTAATTCTACATAAGTAATGCAGTAACATAAATAAGTAGGCATATTTCAGTTCCAAGCACATTTATGATATAATTTTCTAGAGAAAGAAAAACAAAAAAGATTTCACTGAATCAGAGTTGTCTTTATAAGTATGAGAAGGTCTGAGGAGACATAACTTTAATGGCCTTGATGATGATCCTTGAAGTAGAAGAGGAGGAGAAGGTCACGAAACCATGACATGTACCCAAGGAGTCGTGTTGAAAAAGTGGGGGTGGCTTTACTGGCAGCTAAGGGCCCTGCTACCTTGCCAACCTGCTGATTTTGCTTGTTTGAGTTCCTAAGAAGGACCTAAAAACCTTATGTGTGTGTGTGTGTGTGCGTACCCATGTGCATGTGTGCGCTTATACATTTCAGCCAAAGATGCTATGCCACTTTCTTCCCTTTCGTCCGTGAAACCAGTTTCCTAATCTTCCACAATGAGCCAGACCCCAGGACAAGGGGCCAGATAAATTATCCTGAGTTGCAAATTCAGGAATAGGATGCCCCAGGGAATTACTAAATTATCAAAACAATGTGAATGAAATTGAGTTAGAAATTATTGCAGTCTCATTAAAAAACTGTAGTTTCTATAAAATATATTCCTCCATAATATTCCCAGTACCATAAGGAATACTGGAATCCAATCTGGGCATAGCAAAGAATTGAAAAATATTGATTTATCATGGTGGAGATGTTCAAAATATGTTATAACTCTATCCAGAAAAACCTTTCATTAGAAATACTGTGACATCTCACTTTCATGCTAACTTTAAATGTGCTATTTTAACATTATTCTTATATGTATGTTTTTTTCTTCTAATTAAATTGTAAGTGGCTCACAAGCAAAATTCTTGAAAAAACAGAAAAAAAAAAGCATCTTCTACTTCCTACTGGAATCGACTTACTTATAAAGAATTCTAAGAGGTTAGGAGTGAATCTTGTGTATGGCTGGTAAGTAGATGATAATTATAAAGCCAAGTACTGAAGCCAAACTTATCAGAGGAGTAAACTGGTCAAAAGGTGAGTGTAGGCACAAGAGACCATGAGAAACCTACCATTGTATTGTGCTGAGAGGTGGGGGTCCTATGGCCACAAGTCTCTTGCGTCAGCAGAGAAACTGGCTGAAATTCCTCAGAGTGAGGCTTGTTGGGAAAACTCACATGCAAGGGAAGGTGAAAGGCTGGGAGCCCGTCACTCTCCTCTTCTCCCACTTTCGGTCTGCTTGTCACCATGGCTACCTCTCCATCTGCTTCCCCATACGGAGAGGCTGGTCGCTTGGAAGACATCCTAGAAGGAACAAAAGAGGAGAAAATAATGAAACCTCCACATAAATCCTTAATGCCGTCATTGTGTGGTTAGGGGCCATTGTAACAGAAATGCCTTTTTGTGCTGGCAGAGAGCAGGAAACCATCCAAATACCACTGCAAAGCGCACACAATCAGAAACAATGGCCAAGCAGGTAGCAACAGAACAGTGCTTGTTTGTTGTGAGAATAATACACTAATATAGCACTCTCTTGTATTCTGGCTTCTTAAACAAGAGAATTCACCTAAGAACACCGCATAATGAAAGCCCATTCCATTTTAAAGGGAAGAAAAATACCCATCTAGTTTTACACTTTGATAGACCTTACTGAAGACAGAACAGCTATGAATAACAAATACTATTGGCAGTAAAAAGAAGGGAAAGAACTAAAATTTCTTTCATCAAAAAATAAACAAAATAAGCGAATGGTTGCCGTTGTAATGAATTTACATTTTATTAAAAGTAGGATTATTATGACATGTAGAAATAAATATTGGTTATAAGCAGACTTCAGACTTCATGACAAAAAGTTTGATATTTGCTTATAGCTTATTAAGAATTGAATAAATTTTACAAATGCTGCTAATCTTGAAACATTTGAGGATTTTTATTCCTTCACCTCCCCCATTTATTTCTAATATCACACATGCAAAGTGGTAAAAAAAGTGAAAATATAAAAAAATATTTCAATTTTAATTTCCACAATGCAATGAAAGATTTAGATGTGGATTCTCAGACTTATTTGCTCTTTAGAATACCTAAGTGAAAGAAAAATCAAATAAAGATGTTTTGTTTTAATGAGTTAATGCCTATTAGAAAATCCACTTAGACAATAAAAAATTAAGCATTTTTTTTAAGTCTGACTAAAAATACTATTAGATAATGGTTAAAAATACGTGGCAATTCTTAAGTAGATAGTTCCCTTTCCTTTCACTTCAGATTTTATATAGAAGTAGTATAGAGTTGAAATTTCTTTTCTTTAAAATTTTTAAATGTTTTTAAAATTTATTTCTGAGAGACAGAGAGAGACAGCGTGAGCAGGGGAGGCTCAGAGACAGAGGGAGACACAGATTCTGAAGCAGGCTCCAGGCTCTGAGCTAGCTGTCAGCACAGAGCCCAATGTGGGGCTCGAGCCCACGAGCTGTGAAATCATGACCTGAGCCGAAGTCGGACGCCCAACCGACTGAGCCACCCAGGTGCCCCTAAAATGTCTAATTAAAGAAAAAAGCCTCTCTTGTATTTACAACTTGATCTGACCTTGAAAAAGTTGTTATTTTTGCTTAACAAGAGTGTTACAGAATCATCATTCTTATTCTAGACCAGGCAGGAAAGTCTTAACTGCCATACTGCTTCTTTCAAATAAAACCTTGATTTTTAAATTAAAAATTTACTATGAAAGAGATCTCCCTAATCAGTGCTGAATAATACTATTTGTAGGTTAAAATTTTCAAAGGAATTGAGTATTTGAGTACTGCAGATACTCTACTAAGAATAAGAGCACAGCTGAAAAAAAAAAAAAAATAAGGTCCCTGGAATCAGACAAACATAAATTAAAATACTGATTCTACTACTTACTAGCCATGAGACTTACCTTTAATCTATCTCCATTTATTCATCATTAAAATGAAATGTAAATATGTACTGGTAATGCTTTTTGAGACTAAGCTGTGTACTGTATGAAAAATGACTTGTAGAGCATTTAGCACAGAGTAGACACTCTATAAACCCACAGACATTGTTTACTTTAAAACTTTAGGGGAGCCTGAGTGGCTCAGTCAGTTAAGCATCTGACTTTGTCTCAGATCATGATCTCATGGTTCATGGGTTCAAGCCCTGGATCAGGCTCTATGCTGACAGCTCAGAGCCTGGAGCCTGTTTTGGACTCTGTGTCTCCCCCTCTTTCTCTGCCCTTTCCCTGCTCATGCTCTGTCTTTCGCTGTGTCTCAAAAATAAACAAACATTAAAAAAGTTTAAAAAAATTAAAAACTACAGGGTTACCTACACCTCCTTTCCTCAAAAAAAACAAAACAAAAAAGAAAAAACCCAAACCAAAACACTCTAAGACGAGGAAAGCAGATTGCTTTCCAAGAGTTAAACCATAAAATCAATGAGAAATATGAAATCTCCTGATGAGAAATGCTCCCTGGCCAATCATACTTAACAACAATCTGATGAAACATATTAGCAACCATAAAGAAGTAATACTAATAGCATAAATCCTCATCAGCTGAATAACAGAGAGAAACGAAGAAATGGTGGCTACAAAGCAAGCATTATCTAAAGGAGAAGCAGACTGGGCCATCACATTACAGGTATCTTTAGCTATTTCTCAGCTCATTACTACAGTTTACTCCAAGTATTCTCTAAGTATGGAGAGAGGAAGCAATAGTCTAGAGGTGGAATGGTGCTAGTCTCATTGGCATTGGCAACACCACATCTATCACCAAATTGAAACATTAAAGTATATGTAATAACTCTAAACACTAGAGATATTAACTGCCATTGTTCTGCTTCTATGCTTTCTAAGCAGACTTCCGATTGCCATGTAGAAAATGTGCTGACAAGAAGAGATTTAAAATTATTTAAGGTCTCTGTGAAGTGATTTATCAGAGTAAATCTATAAAAGGACTTTTAACAATTTCTTGTTTTACACATAGTTTGATTATAAGGAAACTATGCATTTATCATACCAGCCATAGTATTAATGGTGTGTGTAAGCATTATCACTGTTGGTGAAATTAATAAATTGGGATTCTGGTGTCTACTTCAGTCTTGTGTACAATAAGTCTCTTACTGTCCAAAAACTCCAGGCTACTGGCAAAAGCTAGCTCTGGGTTATTAAAGTAGAAAGCTAGATCAGCTGGCTTTTCCTATGTTAATACAATTCTATGACCTTCAGAAGGCATGACTTTTTGGCCGATTCCTGCTTTATGTATAGCATTATTAATGATTATGAAAATTGAAAGTCCAAAAGTAAACCTAAAGTAGATACAGTAAATAGTTAAGACACTGCTACTCTTCTCAAAACATATCATTTCAATATCTAAATCATCTTTATATACCATTGGATAGTCTCTCTTTCTATATATATCATTCTATGGAGCAAAAGCATTAAGGTCTCAAACACTAAACATGAAGGAGTCGTGATGCCAGAAGGCAAATGATCCTAAACAATTACATATTTCATTCTTATTTCAATTCCATTTTCAGACACTTACAGAATGTTCTTAAGGCGCTCAAGATAAGAATCTTTTTATATAGTTCAGGTAAAAGATTTCTTAAAGATTAAAAACATATTGTGATAAAAATGTCGTAGTTCAAAAATAGGCTAGTAAGTCAGAAAAAAGGTAAATACTTAAATTATATAGAGAGCTATCAGTATGCTTATATTCATCTTTTGTCTGACTCGTAGTACCTCTAAAAATATTGATAACAAATCACCAATAGTGTTAGATTCTTAAATTTTTGTTCATCCACCAAACACTTCCATTCTGGACAGAAGAAAGTCTCTTTAATTAAAAAAAAAAAAAAAAGTAAGTGCTTTCAATATTATGTTATTGTTTATTCCGGTCTCCACTTTATTTATCTCTGATGTTTCTTTATTTGGGATTTCCTTCCTCTACTAAATTTCATCTAAGTTTTTTCATTTTTCTAGTTTCTTGTGGTCTAATGTTTATTTGAAATATTTTCTTAATACAAGCATTTATAGCATAAATTTCACTCTAACATCTGCTTTTGCTGCATCTCATAGGTTTGGGATATGGCATTTTCCTTTTCTTTGGTTGTGAGACATAGTCTGATGTCTTACCATTGAAAAATTTTTCTACCATTGGAATGGTTAAGCTTCTACTTTCTGTCAATGTTTGCTTCATGTATGTTGAAATTCTGTTTTACCCATGCATATAGCAATGATTATATATTCTTGATATAAAAGCAAATAATAAAGGAAGATACATAATGAAAAGTCACCCCGACTTTCCATATATTGTTTATCTGGGATGCGTAGGGCTCCAATTCCTGCGACTGCTTACGTGACATGGCTGCGAGGCAGTGCATGGATGCTTTGGAACATCTGAAGATCTAGGCTGGAGTATGCTATGATGTACTGACCCAGAGATGATTTTTGTCATTCCTGTGGTAGGTGCTAGACTTGCCAATGAATAAAACTCAGGCTTCAAAGAAGATGGCATGAGACATACAAATATAATCAAGTGTGAAACTAACCCGTGGAGCTAATGATGATATAATAGAATCTTTAAGTCAGTTTTGTGTATGGACAAGAAAATCGTGAAAGAACTGATGTCTAATTCTAGGGCAAAAGGGAATCTTCCAATCAATACCATTTACTGATCACTTACTATGTGCAAGACACTTACCTAGCGGGAATAAAAATGTGTAATTTAAGCTCGCTGCTTTAAAAGATTTATGCACTGGTTGAGAAGACCTGGAGAAATAATAATGAATGACAGTACAGATTAAGGGCCAAACAATACTACTTCTAAACACTTGAGGGCTTCAGGAGGACCAGAGGATCCTGGAGTACTTCCAGGAATGGTTGACCAAATGAGTTTGGGAAGGCGGGGGAGAAGTTCAAATGGAAAGCCTGGGATAAATGGAGAGGGAATTTCGTGTAGCAAGTAATGATACAAGCAAAGATGCAGAGGTACTTTTAGAAAGTACTCAAGACTCAAGCTTACTTGGGAAAGAAGGCATTGAGGAGTATGGACTACATCCTGTCTTTAGCCTATAACATTCCTAGAGTTGCTAGGGTACGTGCATGAACAGATAAGAAACAGCCTCCCTTGTAAGGGGCAGCTTGCTTTTACACAAAGTCACTTTTCCTTTACTTGTCCTTGTAGCAGTCTGCATAATCAGGCCACGCTAGTCCATACGTGAAAGTGATTTTAAAACTATTGGAGTCCTTGACTATTGACTAAGGGCTCTCTGGGTGCACTGTCTTCACTCTGTAAGTAGGATGTCT